AAGGAAGTCTGAAAGCTATTTTAACAGTCTTATAAAAGCTTCCCTATCTTAGGAAATAACATAAAACTGTCCTTAAAAGTAGACAATTGGGGGATGGACAACAGAGTGAAGGGAGATGTCGGACAGTGCAAAACATGACAAAATAATAATTTATAAATTATCAAGCGTTCACAAGGGAGGAGGAGTGGGGAGGGAGGGGAAAAAAATGAGGAGCTGATGCCAGGGGCTTAAGTGGAGAGCAAATGTTTTGAGAATGATGAGAGCAATGAATGTACAAATGTGTTTTACACAATTGATGTATGTATGGATTGTGATAAGAGTTGTATGAGCGCCTAATAAAAAGATTAAAAAAAAGTAGACAATATTCAATTTTTTAATTGTCTTCTGTTGAGTAGTTTCCTGAGAGTTCTATTTATTTTTCATTACAAAATCAACCTGAATGTCAATAATTCCTAATTAAAGTATTTGATAATCATTTAAAAATTCAATAAAATAGAAAGATTTTTTTAATGAATTACTAGAGATACATTGGGTAGTTTATCAAATACAAGGTTAATGGCACAATTATATTTCACATAAACATAACATTTATATTATACCACTAAAAATATGAATATGAAACATTTTTAACCTAGAAAACTTAGCAAAAGATTTACAATACTAAATTATAAGTATAGTCAAAAGAGAAGTTAAATATGATTTATGATAAAATCCTATATAATAAACATGCTACAATTACTGACAGACTACCTATAGCTATATGATTATACGCTATACTATCTCAGGAAAATAAGCCTTACAGAATCACCAATGAACTAGTAAACAGCACATTTAAATATGAAGGGAAGCTAGTTGTATTTTTCCATTTACTAATAGTAAGCAGTTTTAGGTTTTATTTTACTTTTATTTGGGACACAGAAAGCCATTATTTTAGCAGCATCTATAAATTGTAGTTGGTTAACAATTTTTCAGGAATATTTTTAACTTTTAAACTGGAAGAATAGGACAGGCATGCAGACACTGGAAAATAACTTCTTGCCCGCAACAGGCAGCAGTCTAATAAAGTTCAGGGTTTTATTAAGAGGCCTGACTCCAAAACTGGCTGATTCCAGCTCTGGTTCATAAAGTACAAAGAGAGTCTAGATATCGTCTAGTGTTAGAAAGTAAAGAGGCTGCCAAAGACCACTAGGCCCATATCAAAACAAACCAGACGCAGTCATGAAGGAATCCCCACTTCAAAAATGGAAAGTTTTGAGCCTCAAAAAAAGTTATGCTGTTCGTGCCCATTAGTCATTAGAGAGATGCAAATGAAAACAATCAAATATCAATTCCCCCCAACATTAATAGCAAAGTTAAAAATGCAGACAACAACAAAGGTTGGCAAGGGTGTGCAGTATGGAACCCTCAGACATTGCTGAGAGGACTACACAACAATGCACTCACTGTGGAAAAATGTTCTGGTGCTTACTTTAGAAATTAGAAATTGGAAGCAGAAATATCATTATGGCCCAGAAATCTCACAACTATGTTTACTGTTATGATGCAGCAATCCCACTACTAGAGAAATAATAACTGTCACATGAACAGATAAATACACACCCAAGTTCATCATAACACTATTCACAATAGCAAAAAAATGGAAACAATCCAACTGTCCATCAATGTATAAACACCACAATACATACACACAATGCAGTACAAGGTAACACTAAAAAATAACTAGCAATCTGCAAAAACCTTGTACAATGAACCTAGGGGATATTATGCTGAGGGAAATTAATGAAGCACTGAAGAACAAAGATGCTACGTGACCAGTACGGTAAAAACTCAAGAAAAAGTATACGTGCAGAAAGAGAAACATTCTTTGAGGGTCACCAGGATGGGATGGGAAGGGAAGGGTAAATCAGTAACTGAATGGGTATTAGGATATCCGGGGCTGCGGAGTAGGTTCTGATTTGTACAGATTTTTATTGCCCAGTTCTACACCAGCCTCCCAATTGTTTCCTATGTTTGGGCTCATTGTTCTAGCCACTGACTCAATCCCTCTCATTAAAGGTCTTTCTCTGTTTATTGACCCTCTACTTTATCAAGCACATTATCTTTCTCCAGGGCTAATCCCTCCTGACAGTATGTTCAAATCACATGAGACAGATTTTCATCATCTTACCTTCCTACTAAGCATTCTGGCTGAACTTCTTCCAAGATGCACTAGTTCTCCTTCAAGCTAACACCCAAACACCAAAACCAATGCCGCTGAGTCGTCTGACTCACAGATGCCCTATGGGACAGAGAAGTGCCCCTTTGGGTTTCTGAAATTGTAAATCTTTCCAAAGCAGCCTCATGTTTACTCCATGGAACAGTTAATGGGTTTGAACTTGGTTGTAAGCAGTCATGCTAATCCCACTACACCTCCAGTACTCATTAGTACATATACAATCCTGCAATAATGATAATAACGATAATCTACAAATTAATAGTTAGACATCAAGCCAAGCAGGAGCGAGAAGGTAAATGAGCCTATACCGACAGCATAGTTTCACAGATGTCATTTCTGCATCTGTGCTACAAATATAGCCATGAGTATAACAGAGCATATGAAGCGGTTATGAAAACATCTTAGCCATAATCGAACACCTTGAGGAATGTTGCTCTGGAGGCATTAAGATCAATTAGCAAAACCAAGTCCACAAAGGCAGTGTTCTACATGCTATTTTGGTGACCAGCAATGTGGATCCTGAAAGCATGTAAGCTGTCATCGAAGGTGCAACTGCTGGTCTCTCCTCATCCAAAACAAACAACAGTGAAAAAAAACAAAGACACATGCTTAAAAAAAATTTTTTTAAATGCTGCCGTTGAGTCAATTCCAACTCATAGTGACCTTATAGGACAAAGTAGAACTGCTCCTGTGGGTTTCTGTAAATACTCAGGGAATCAAAAGCCTTATCTTTAGGGAAATAGAAGGAGCGGAGGACAAAATTATCTAGGGAAATAGAAAGTCTCATCGTTCTCCCACAGAGTGGCTGGTAGTTTCAAACTACCAACCTTGCAGCTAGCAGTCCAAAGTGTAACACACTACTCCACCAAAGGACTATGAACCATGCTAACCTCAGCCTCTAAGACCCTGAGTCCAGAAGAACTAGGTGGTGCCTGGCTACCATGGCCAACTACTCTGAAATGGAGCATAATAAAAGTTCTGGATAGGGTAAAAGAAAACTGCAGAACAAATCTGAAAGTCAGAAAACAACAACAACAAAAACAAAAAACAAAAACAAGATTTACTGGTTGGATAGAGACTGCTAGACTTAGGCACCCTTTAGAGACTTAAGTACTTTTTAGACCTCGAATTGAATCACGTCATTGGCTCAACTTCCAGCCAAATAACACAGGCCTATAAAATAAACAATAATGCCAAGAAGGTATATACCTCTTAAACAAGGAACTCTATGGGATCAAAGGAACGACATTTGTTTAAGGATAAAGCTCAAAAGGCAATGAGGAACAGGAATATTGGACAAAAGAAAACAGTAAACATAGGGGGCAAAGAGAAGAGTATAGTTGCATAATGGAGATTGCAATCAATGTCAGTAAACAAACTGTGCATGAATTGCAGAATGGAAAACTAATAGTTTAATAAAGTTTCGCCCAAATCACAATAAAAAGTCCAAAAAATAATTATAAGTGAAACAACCCCAAATCAGGAACTTTACACTTTAAGGAATGAAAAAAAAGCAGAGCAAACCAGAAGGAAGAAAGAAAATAATCAAGATTAGGCAGAGATAAACTAAATAAATAGAATCCATGAAGCAAAAGTTGATTCATTGAAAAAAGCAATAAAATTTCAAAGACTTTTTTAGACCAAAAGAAAAATTTCAAAATTACTAAAGTCAGAAATGAATGTGATTACTACAACCACACACAAAAAAAGATTTTAAGACAATTTTTGTAACTTTTTCCTCTTTTTCACTAACTCAATCATAGAATTTAATTTGGCTTCTGTGTTCGTCAAATTCATCTTTCCTCTCTCAAGATCTTTGCATTCCCTAATCTTATAAGAGAGCCCTGATGGTATGGTCAGGTAAGAGGTAGACGGCTGACCTCAAGGTACAAAGCCCAAACCCAGCTGTTTTGCAGGAGAAAGTTAAAGCTATCTCTCCCATAAAGATTTTCAGTCCTGGAAGCCCTATATAAAGTGGCTATGCGTGAAAATTGACTCAAAAGCAGTGGTTCCTATTCCTTCTACTGTGCATGTTTCCTGAACCAAACACACACATCCCATACATACAACATACAACACACACTCCTTAAATATTTAATAGAATAAACTTCAACTGTAACAATTCTTCAAAGGATCCTTTTCTGACCACCCTACCTTAAGTAGCCCCTACCACATCTCCAAATCACTTTTTTTAAAAGGTATCATATTTCACCAATGTTTTATCGATTCACTTTTAACTCATCTTCTCCCCTAGACTAGAAGCAATGAGGAAAGGGCAGTCAGCTTATTCAGCATTGTTTCCCCAGGAGGCAACATAGTGTCTGATGGTAGTAAACAAATGAATAAAATAGCAAATAAATAAATAAAAATCAATAACTACATTATGATATATAATTTAGAAATTAAACAATGGGAAAGATAATTTACAGAAACCAGAAGAAGAAAGTATTTGGCTTCCAAGTAAGATTTGCTAAATTTAGTAATAGGCAGCTAAAACTCTAGAACTGATGGGTACACAAATTGAGAGATACATAGATTAGGATTCTGCTGATTATAAACCCTAGTTTTTATAAATTACATCACACATAATGTAAGATTCACTAGGATAAAAAAATAAACAAAAAAGAAAGAACCTAGGTATAAAATTATAGCAACTTCCATTGTAGGGAACCATCTAACATAAAGAACACTAAAAATCAAGAGAAACAAAATCTATTCCACAGTTTCAAAGACCAAATTTAAAAACATTTTTAGAAATTTACTAAGAAGAGTAACATCATCCTACCTTGCTACTATTCATTGCTGGTCATAATTTAGGTAAAGTAGTAGGTCCATGTTGAGGTATTACACACTAGGGGTGAGGAAGACGAGAAACCCCGCAGTGAAGTCTCACAGGTCTAGCCAGAAAACATGAGCTGCAAGAAGAAATTCAAGGTGTTAGACCTGTTCACTACAGATGGAGGGAGAGATGTCTACGTGGAACATAATAGGTTATGACTGGGAATTAACAGCAATAGTTTACCACATTCACCAAATTAAAAATGAGAAGTCCAATAAATAACTTCCTTATTTATCTATTCTTTCTCTCTCCCCTTTCGCTTCACAACTTATCACAATGTGTGAAGAAGGGGACTTCCTCCCCAACTTGTTCTCTGAATTTTTGAAGAAGTAATATATGTTATTCTCTATTTTCACAGTAAAAACTTTCTTTCAAGTTTTAAGCACAACAGAAACAAGTGACTATAATCTTTAAAATATTATCATAGCCTAACTGATTGATTAACTATATGAGAACAGCTACTTGAAATGCTTGGGAAGGGCTGTGCAGCAATACCCCTGCACATAAGTACTGTACTGACTTTCTTTTAATAGGCTGCCATTCACAAGAGCAAGGCCTTGCATTGACTTTTCTCCCCTCGTCTAAGATAGTCAACGGCTTCCTTCTTTCCACGAATGCCAGTGTATATATGGTGGCATCATGGTTAAGCTGTGGTCTACAAGGTCAGCAGTTTGAAACTATGGACCGCTCAGCTGGAAAAGACAGGGCTTTCTACTCCCATCAAGAGAACAGTCTCGGGAACCTACAGGGACAGTTCGACACTGTCCTATAGGGTTGCCATGAATCGGCACTGATTTGACAGCTGTGAGCTTCTGAGTGTATAGCCCCATCTCAGTTCCTCATTTTTTGCCTCGTGCCCTTCGACTTTTAACTCTGATTGATCAGTTCTCTTTTCTCAAGCTCCTTTTATTTGCCAATTCTGTTTTCACTACTTCCTTGACTTCCACTTGATACAGGTAAAGATTGCATATCTGTTCCAATAAGATTATTCCCTGCTTTCGGGACAGGAAACTGACAAAATACAGTATGTTCTCCAAGCCAGCTACTCTGTTAAGTAAGCTTTTTACCCATTTCCAAAAGGGTTACCCCAGATCCCTTTGTTTGTTTCGTTTTGCTTTTGCTTGCTTTCACTTTGCTGTGTTCATTCTCTTTTAGATATGGTAACCTAGCAAACTCCCAATGCTAAAATTCTTCTTCCACTTAACATGATCGAGGAAAGTGACTTTTACCTTAACACTGCCAGCATTCTGTATATAACACAGAACATTGCTGTTAGTTACGTCTGGGTCCATTCTGACTCATAGCGACCCATGTGACCAGGGTAGAACTCCTCCAAAGGATTTTCAAAGGTGAGACCTTTTGGAAGCAGACTGCCAGGTCTACTGCTAGACTAGGTTCCGAGGGACCCGCCTTTCTCTAGTAGCCAAGCACTTCACTGTTTTTGCCACGTGAAAAATAAGCTCATTAACATCAACTCATTCTGGTTCAGAGAGAGCCTATGGGAAGAGCACAATTGCCCTGTGGGTTCCCAAGATTATAAATCATTGCAGGATAGAAAGCCTCCTCTTTCTCCTGTGGAGCAGCTATTGGTTTCAAACTGCTTGCCTGGCGATTAGCAGGCCACGCCAAGGCATCACCCACTATACAACGAGGGCTCTTCATGTGCCACATAGTAGTCACCAAATAATGATTACCGAATGAATGGAACTCGAATATGAGTTACAGCTTTCTCTGATTTGTACATTCTGGTGTAAATTTGGTTCTTAACAAGAGCTATTATGTAAATTATAATAAAACTCATGACTTAAAATAATATTAAATATGAAAATTTTAGACAAGACTGCTCAACTTCTCATTTCAACTCAAACTCTCCAGTTTAATTTGAAAGCTAAAGTACAATAATTATACATAAAGTCCAAATAGACAGTGTTGTTCATAAGGATTTTCAAGCAACAAAATACAGCATGTACCTAGAAGTGCATGTGTACATTTGAATCTGATTATGCTCTCAGGACAGAACCAAAAATTACTGAATCACTCATTTAATTTGAAGTTTTTAAGTCTATCAGCAAAGGTCATTGAAGTCTATTACCTAGAACTCTATATTTTGGGATATGGCAATGGTCATTTCCAAAGACCCAGGGAGCCCTGTTGGTATAATGGGTTACATCAGCCACTGCTCTGGAGAAAGATAAGGCTTTCTACTCCCATGAAGATTTCCAGTCGCAGTTCTACCCTGGCCAATAAGGTAACTGAGTCAGAAGTGACTCAAGGCAATGAATGAGGTATAAGACAAGCAACTATTTAACAGGGACTTAACGGGCCCCACTGAGCAGCAGCCAGTGCCTTTCTCAAGGAAGCTATTCACAACACCCATGTGTTATTTATGACTTGAATTCCAACTCAGTCTTTTCCCTAAATTTTTTTCTCAATGACCGAAAAATAACATTTTTCCATTGTAACATTCCATGTAACAGAATCCATAAGTCTCAAGGGGTTTGAAAAGTCCACAGAAAATTGCCATTATCTTTTAATTCAACTTTTTACAAACTTTTTGTAGCCCCCTCATATTAAGGTACAAACACAAAGTGATGGGAGAATTAAAGACTAGGGCACGACTTGCATATGCACTCAATGATCATCCAACCAAAGTGAGCTACATGGCAAATACTGCATTCAAGTCATGGAATGCAAATATGAATAGGACACATTCTCTGCTCTCCAAGAATCTACAGTCTAAAGAATACGACAGACTGACAAATCAATAGCTATGTAACGAATATGTAGAGATTTTTATGGGATATTAGTAAAGCATACAGGATGCACCCTTGTGGGTTAGGCAGGAACTGGGCAGGCTTCTCCTTCCCACTTTCACTCCTCCTATTTTTCAAAGTAATATCATTTTACTTTGAAATCCAATTCTGATAATCCAAACATCTAAAACTAAGAAACCGATTTTAATATCCATTTAAAACCATGTTTTCAAAGAAACGTTCTTGTTCGTGTGTGTTTAAGTGAAAAATACATGAGGCAGATAAGCCTGTACACAAGAAAATTCTCTCTTTCTACCCCAACCCACCCCTTGCCCAAGCGATTATGTGTGCAAGTAAGTAATAAAGCTGTGTTGTCCTTTATTCTCCCACTTTGGGTAGCAGTATTTCCACTCTGTTTTGTTGAACTTGATGCTGCTGTGGTTACCTAGCAGTTAGTCATTCCCACCCTCAAATTCCTGAAATAGGCATATGATTCAGGTCTGGGAAATCAGAATACTCCCTCCCCTACGTGTCTCAAGAATGGGTAGGTGAGCCAAAGGGGACGAGTACAACTCAATCCCGAAATTACTGCAGGAAAACTGACTAATGAGAAAGGAACATTCTCTTTCAGCTGAGGTTGCTAAACTGAAAGAATAAGGTAAGTTCCTGTTTGACAATGAGCCAACCCAGTGAAAGGAAGAGTCAAGAGACAGAAAAACGAAGAAAGAGAAAACATTTGCCCCTAACTGTCGTCACACCTGAGATTCTGGTGAATGGCTGCTTGGATTTGGAGTTACTGTTGAAAAACAATGATTTCTCATGTTTTTGCAGTCAGGGCCTGTCTGAGCAAAAGTCACAATGGTATTTGCGTAATAACCAGCCTTATAAACTAGCAATAGTGACTCTCTAAAGATAAACATGTCCAAAGAGCTTAGAAGAAAAAAATAGTGGTTATGGTTTCTGCGGTTAAGGGTCAGGTGAGTGATGTGAACCCACTAGCTGCTCCCTGGGAGAAAAGGCCTGGATGATGGCAGCCTAGGAAACCATGTGCGGCAGGACTACTGTGTCCCGTAGGGGTTCTATGAGTCAGAGCATGTTGACAGCACACAAAAACACGTTTTTCTCACAAGAGATAACTTTTCTCCTCTCTCAAGGAGATTTAATGAGCAAGACCTCTTCATCTGGAAGGGAAGGAAGGTGGACAGATGTGCCAGTGTTCTAAACAAGGCTACCCACACCGCCACTGTGCAGTCAATTCTGTCTCAGAGCAGCCCTGTAGGAACGCCCCCATAGTGTCCAAAGGCTGTAAATCCTTATGGAAGCAGATAGCCACATTTTTTTCCTACAAAGCAGTTGGTGGTTTCAAACCGCAAACCTTTAGACTAGCAGCCAAGTACTTAACCGCTGTGCCGCCAGCCTTCCTCTTCTACATACTTACTAAACAAAATCCCAAACCTGCTGCCACTGAGTCCGTTTTGACTCACAGTGACCCTAGATGAGACTTCCAAGGTGTCCAGATGGCCCAGTGGATTACACATTGGGCTGCTAAGCACAAAGCCAGCAGGTCAAATCTACCCACTGCTCCACAAGAGAAAAATGAAGCTCTTCTGCTCCTGTAAAGATTTACAGCCTCAGAAACCCAGGGGGGCGTTCCTCTTCTGTCCTATGGAGTCACTATGAGCCAGCAACAGCTCAAGGGTAGTGAGTGAGTCGCAGCGTTTCCGAGGCTATAATCTTAACCAGAACAGATGGCCTGCTCTTTCCCCTTGCAGCAGTGGTAGGTTTGAGTTGCTGCTCTGGTGATCAGCTGGCCGAAGCTCACCAGGTAGGGCCCACAGGGCTCCTTCATACTCACTCAGAGTCACAGAACTTGGAAGTCACGTGACTGGGATGCAAATTCACCACAGGCATAAACAACTACCTGGACTGGCAGTGATGAGCAGAGAGGAACAGGAGCTTAAGATGCTGCTCTGGCAGCTGCTTATACTGTAATTAACAAACCATCTGAGTCTCTGACCTAATTTTCTTCTCTTAATATATGTATATAAACCTGTGGCAGGCTAACTTATTGGCCTGCAAGCAGGATATTCTTAGATCCTCCAAAGTTTCCAACTTAAAAATGACATGCACTACTTTTTTTTCCCTCTTACTGAGAGCCTACACAAGATAGACAGAGATTCTTATCCTCCTGGAGACTATATTCTAGAGCAGTGTTTCTCAACCTTCCAAATGCCGCAACCCTTTAATACAGTTCCTCATGTTGTGGTGACCCGCCAACCATAAAATGATTTTTGATGCTACTTCCTAATGGTAATTTTGCTAC